AGAGAGAGAGAGAGAGAGAGATGGGGAGCGGGGGGAAGGGAGGGACTCGTCGAGCTTCTGCGAAGACCGGAAGCCGCTGGCGGACGGCTGATCGCCACCGGACGTGCATCTTCCTTTTTTGATACAGATCTTGCATACTAAGTCGAATTTGCACCGAGCCAAAGCCTCGCCTCTTTTTTTTTCTTTTCCCTCCCTAGTCCTCCCCCTTTTTTCGTTCATCCCTTCCTTCCCTCCTCCACCCTTACTCTCACCCACCACCCCCAACCCCACTTTGCATCACCGTGTATTTTTTTTTCTCCTCGTTAATGACGATACCGCGATCAGTATCGCTGGTATTCAATTTCGCAGCATCCTTTTTCTTCTATCTTCTCCCATTTCCTCCCGTCCCGCCCCGCTCTAGATCCCTTTCCATCCCAATCATAATATCCCATTGAACGTACGTATCGTTGGTAAAAAAAAAAAAAAAAAAAAAAAAAAAAAATTAAGAGACTCAAAGGTAGTACGAATTTTCGTTTTATGAACGAAATATCGACGAGAAAGATGGATTTGTCTTCTTACCTTGCTAACGACGAAATCCTTTTCGTCGAAATGACGGCCAAACATTTTTGGTGCCTCGCCGGGTATAGGCTCGATCTTGATACAAACCTCTTGTCCTTTACGAGCCGATTCTACCGACTTGTGATTGTATTCTATACTCGATACAATACCCAACTCGACGAACTGAAATAAAAAGGGAAAATAATATAAAATGATTAAATAATATTATTAATCTCAATGAAATATAAATGAACGATAAATTCGTTTATTCTCGATCTCTAATCGGTTTCAACGAATGGAACAGATAGAGAGAGAGAGAGAGAGACAGAGAGAGAGAGAGAGAGACAGAGAGAGAGAGAGAGAGAGAGAGAGAGAGAGAGAGAGAGAGAGAGAGAGAGAGAGAGAAAAGGGAACGAGCAATATATATTATAATATTCCACTCGCGATCTGCGTAAGCATAGCTGTTTTTGTTTTTACCGAGGACGACGCCTTCCAACATCAGGTTGGCGGAAACGAGCAGAATTATGCGTTTCCCTTTTCAGCTATATGTACACGTGCGCAAATACGCGCATACATACATACATACGCATATATGTGCGTGGACGTAGTCGTAAAAGAGAGCACGAAAAAAAAAAAAAAAGAAAGAAAGAAAGAAAGAAAGAAAAAAAATTAAATAAATAAATAAAATAAAATAAAATAAAATAAAATAAAATAAAATAAAAAAAAGAAAACGGACAAATTATTTTTCTTCCTCAATTGTAAAAAAAATTAATCATTGTCATTACTGATAAGGATGGAATAAAAAATTCATTCATAGAACAAGCACAAGTCTTCGTAAATTTCCAAAGTTCCCGATTTTGTGAGATCGTTCGGAGAAGGTTGGTGTTTCAGCTTGTGCGTCGGAAAGATACGGTTGAAACACGCGCTCGCGCACAAGAGAACGAGAGGACGAGAGAGAGAAAGAGAGAGGGAGAGACAAGGCAAGGTGTAAAAAAAGGAGGAAGTCTGTGGGCAGTACATGGTACGGCCCGTATGGGACTAGTCTCGCAGCCAATCGGTGGACAATGACCGCTCGGATATGTCTGCTCGTGTATTCCGAAACCCACGCTAAGAGCAACGCTATGCCCACTCGATCGTATTCGGTTTGAACGCATTGCAAGAACTTCTTGTTGGTTCGTTGCTAAGGTGCACCTTCCTTCTCTCCTCTTTGTCCTTACAACCCAACTTCGATCTTTTAACACTATTACTTCTTATCTCTTACGGATTCGAGAGAGAGAGAGAGAGAGAAAGAGAGAGAGAGAGAGAGAAAGAGAGAGCATATATGAACCGGCCAATTTTATTTCAATTCATTTCATTTCATTTTGTTTTATTTTATTTTATGTTTCTTTCTTTTTCTATCTTTCCTTTTATTTTAATTTTTCGCTTTTACTTTATCCTTCTTCTTCTCCTTCTTCTGTTTCTTTTTTTTTTTTTTGCAGATCTAACAAACGTAAAATTTACAGTAGTTAAATATATCGAAGCAACTGGATTTTATCAAATTGATAAACAAATAAGTTGATTTATAATTATTATAAGTAGACTTTAATTGTCAATCTAAAATTGTTGAAACTAGGGATTTTATTTATTTCTTTATTTTTTTTTTTTTTTTTATATATATAGAACATGTTTTATGCAATAAAATTTTATTGCAATAAAGTTTTAATTTTTTGACAACACATTATTTTGTTAAATCAACAACTCTCGCACTGATCGAAATTTAGCTCGAAGCAATGAAGGGACTATGGATCAATTTGATTTAAATCGAGTATCATGGATCTACGGATCAATTCGATCTAACTCGAATTCATGGATCTATAGATCAATTCGATCTAATACGAATATACGTATCTGCGGATCAACTTATCAGCTTGAATCTATGGATCTATGGATCAACTTTAATCTAAATAGAATCTACGGATCTATG